ACCAAATTAATCTCCACAACTGAACACTTCAATGAAAATAATTATGGAAGCTATCGAAATAGAGAAACACCCCCACAACATGAATAAATGTGGCAATACCTCCCGCCTACCACACATCTGGAAACCAGCCCTGGTAAACAAATGAGCCCCCACCCACCACCCAGGCTGTTACAACACAAAACAACAATGGACACACAGCCAGCACCAATCAGCACCAATCTACCAATCATGATACAGCCACACATCCAATCAATCCACTTATTGAAACAACGCCAGCACTCCACACACCCCCACCAAGATTTATAGTAAGATGGCATCACACTTTATGCTTTATACTGCATGCAGTAATATATAAACAAATATGCAATAACATCAATCATATTATAACATATATTATCTTCCATTATAGTGTTGATTATATAACTGTCAACAAAAATTTACTCATCTGTTTTTCTTTCTCATGTAAACCATATTTCACCTAATTCCACTCCACTAATCTCAATATCTGTCATTTAACCATTTATAGAATAGTTCACATGTTATGAAATAATCCAGATCTTCTTTTCCTTTTATTTTTAGGGTTAACCTATCCATCTCTGCACATTCCAGAATTTTTTTGATTATAATATCAGTAACATGGTTGTTAAGTGAATCTGGATTCTCCATTGACTTTGCTTGTTAGAAGGTTGCAAAAAGTGATCACATGACCCTGGGATACTGCAATTGTTATAAATATGAATCTATTGCCAAACGTCTGAATTTTGATCACATGACCATGGGGATGCTGCAATTGTCATAAGTGTGAAAAACAGTCATAAGTTACTTTTTTTCAGTAATGTTATAACTTTGAATGGTCACTAACGAACTTTTGTTAAGTCGAGGATTACCTGTATTGGAATGGGGAAGTGTAACTTGTTCAGATTGAAGGCTGCATTTTGCCTTCAGAAACAACCAAAAATAGGTTGAGTTAATGAAAATTTAATTAAAATTAAATCAAATATATTTAATATGATCGCTCTCCATGTAATTAACAAATCTCTCCTTATAGCATATTAAAAATTACAATTTAGAAGCAACTTTTTAATCAGTTCTGGGGTCACACTCAAATCTTGAGGGGCCCTGAGGAAGGGGGAAATGAGGATGATTCATTAAACTTGTATGCCACAAGATTCTCATCAACCCTGGGCAGCTCACAACAAACAAAATAAATTACAATAAGATCAATTAAACACGAAAAATAAAGATAAAATATAAGTCAAAGCCCTGGGTGAAGAATCAGGTTTTCCCAGCTCTTCTAAGCAATGGCAAAGTGGGGGTACTTGGATCTGGGTGGGGGAATCCCTTTTCATGGGACAGACACTGCTACAGATAAGATGCGTTTCTGGGGTACCGAAGGATGACATTGTTTAATCACAAAAAGATAGAGTGCATCAATCCTGCAAGATCAAATCAGCCCAGATGTTATTGGAGATAGGTATATGGCCTTATGCCATTTAGGACTTTATAGGCAGCAACTAGCATCTTGGAGGAGATATCCTAAAGGAGGTCAACCCTGACCGCTCTTTAGAAGGCCAGATCCTGAAGATGAAACTTAAAATACTTTGGCCACCTAATGAGAAGGAAGNGTGGGGATGGACAGGAAGCTACAGGCAACTATTCTGTCTTTTAAAACATGTTTCTTTCTTTTCATATCCAGAGAAATATTCTGCCTTTTCAATATTTCTTAGGATATTTCATTTTTGTGGGAGAGGGCTGGATGATAACTTCCCACAATATCTTTTGTACTTCTAACAATTAACCAAATTCAACAAAAATAACTTTTCTTTGCAACAGTAAAGCAGTATTAACTTCAAAGTTGTATTGTTTTGGGTTTTTTGCTACAAAAATCATATTGGATTGTTTTGATTCAAGTTTCCCTGTGCAAAACATAGATCAAAAAGCCAAAATACAACATGGTTATGTATGCATTAAACATAACTTACTTCCAATACATAAACACACAATGATTTATCATTTGTAAATTCAGTCAAGGACCTGAATGCTTTTTCAAGGATTGCCCAGAATCATGACCTATTCCAGCACTCAAGAATTAACTGATGCTGAATATGTTCGCATTTAGTAAGTCTTTATAAACATGGCTATGGTGAAGATGTTAGGTCACTGGTTTGATTGATAAATATTTTTGGTGGGCTCTGCAGCATTATTCATTGTATATTTTTTCTATCATTTTTGTTGGTTTTTAACAAATTTATAGCTAGCCATAGCTGTAAGAATGAGATGGCAGTCATATACATTGTATAAAGAAATTACAAAGAAAAGTGTTATTATAATCCCATTGCATTTTTTAATGTACTGATTCCAATTTTAGAGCATTTGTAAAGTCACATGAAATGAAAGTTGTAAAAGTTTTTTAAAAGGTCCAAGAGACCTATTATTTCTAAATCAGAATGCAATAATGTACAATAATTTTTGAAGAAAGATTCAGGACAATATGTCCTTTATATATTTTTTTATCTGAGAAAGGTTTACTTCTCTACAGTACTATTAGAAACAGAACAAGGCCCTCCAGAGATTACAGAGAGAATTTTTAACAAACAAATGTGTACATGCATATACAACTTGTTTTCCCACCATGGATATATATAGAAACATATACTTAAGAATTTTTTTATTGGCCTTGCTTTTTAGAAGCCAGCTGGGAAGTTTGCAAATGACAGTCATGTGACAGCTGGTCATTTGCATTTTTTTATGTTTTTTATTCCAGATGCAAATGACTAGCTGTCTGCATGGAATGTACATTCTTTCATTCCCCGCCATCCAATCAAAGCTGAAGCTTTTTGGATGAGAAGCGAAATGTCTTCAAAGAAAAAAAAGTCTATTGCCATCTGATAAAGCACCTTTGGGACAACCATACCTGGATGACTGAGAATCTCCATAGATATCAAAGGGAAAAAATATTAAAAATACACCACTAGAATTTTAATACATAAATGTTAATACTAAGTTCAAAAATAAATAAAATATAACACTGGTGTGTCTTTTTCTTGATTTCTTGAATGCTGTTAGGAATCCTATTAGGTATGTAAATATAGCTAGCGCTTGAGGAATGGAAAAAAGCAGAGTAATGTGACTCGTCCTCTTCTCTTCTCAGAAGTTTCCTGAAAATGGCCTCAAATACAAGTCCGAAAGCTTGGAAGACTATGTTGTAAGAAACATCCTTCTGGGTTCGGCTCCATGTGGGGAAAAAGACACAGGAGACATGGAGGCTAGTTGGAAAGATGGTTTAATGGTAGACAGGACCACATAGTCTGAGTCCTGAACAGAAAAGGTGATCACATGCTTCAATGTTGGTGGAGAAGAAGTGAAGGGTGGGCTGCGATGCTGAGTCCCTGGTTTTCTGCCCTGTCTGTCCTTTGATCTTGAGCTTGTGTTCTGATTGGTTGTCAGACTCCCATGGGGCCATGCAGGAGCAACTCTCTAGGCTGTGTTTTGAGTCTCAAATTTGGGTAAAGGGCTAATACTATCATGCCTTAATCCCATCAACCTGGATCTGAAGGGGAGAACTCTTTATTATGTAGAGTAGTCTGGCTTGAGCATCTTAATGGCCCATTGACAAAGGGGGATGGGCAGGAAGCTGCAGGGAGCTACTTTGTTTTTACTACATGTTTCTCCCTTTTCACATCCAGGGAAATATAATATTCCGCCTTTTCAATATTTCCTGGGATATTTCATTTTTCTAGGAGAGGGCTGGGTTTTAATTTCCTACAGCTAAATCTCTGGTCCAGGTGACCGATTTAAGATTGGATCTTGCAACATTATCCCGGGACAGGATTGTTTGCATCGATTATTGCAGAAAGGCATGGGGACCTTAGATTAAAGCTTTTGTGGAGTTCAACTTCCAGAATTCTCCAGCCATTTTAAAAGTTGCCTAATCTGAGAAACGTTGGATCAAAGCCCGAGTTTCAGACCCAAAATACGCTTGCAATTAACAAGGAAAGCCCTAAGGAAGATTCAAGCGAAGATTCTTTGCTGCACTCAGTGGTTCACGCGAACGTTGCGCAATGCATGACGGAAGTTGTAGGCATCGACGGTTTGGTGATTGCGCAAGCCGATCGGAGCCTCCTTTTCTTTCTACTGGCAATGGCCGCTACCAGGAAGGTAAATGATGCCGTTTGCTCCACGGGAGCTTTAGGGGTTGGTGCCCGGGACGGGCCAGATAATTCCTTGCTGATTGAAATGGCCCGTTCCTCATCTATAGCAATCCTGGGTCCGCTTGAGCCACGTGCTTTCCATGAAGTTTAGCCGGGGTAGCTTAGTGTTGCGACTGCACGTGGCTCGGAGCATTTGATCGGGACGTGTCCTAATCACGTCCTTCCCTAGTCTCATTAACCCTCTGGCGGGTTTAATTGGTTGCGGGTAACAGAGCAAGCCTGCTTTGGGGGTTCCGTGTTCTTCTCTCCCTTCTCCTTTCTTTTTAGTAGGGCAACCGGATGGTTTGCAAGACCTCAAAGTTAGCCAAAGAAAGAAAGAAGTATCCACCCGCCCCCCCAGGTAAGACTTGGCTTTCAGGAGGTGTTTCTGGGGATTTCCATATTATCCAAGACTTTCCCTTTTCCACAACGGGAAATAGCGGCATCCTGTGTGCCTACAAGTTTTAGGCATCGATAAATTTGTCCAGTCTTTTAAGACAGGGGTCTCCAATCTTGGCAACTTTAAGACTTGTGGACTTCAACTCCCAGAATTCCTCAGCCAGCTTGAAGTCCACAAGTCTTAAAGTTGCCAAGGTTGTTTTAAGATACTACAGGCTTCTTGCTGGTTTGTCTAATATTGTGGACAAGACTTAAAGTGTTTCGATGTCTTCGTGGTTTATTTCCGGAAATTCTTTTAATTTGGGAGACAGAATCTGACTTCCAGTTCTTGTTGATGATTCCTGGGGACTTCCCGAACCCGCCCCTGGGTTGTTTTTTTAGCAAGATTTTTTGGGAGTGGTTGGTCCTTGGGCCCTTCCTAGGGTTGACAAAAAGTGACTGGCCCAAGGTCACCCAGTTGGCTTCAGGCCTAAGGTGGGACTCGAATTTGCCGCTTTCACATTCTAGTCTACAACAAACTGCTATTTTACTCTAGTTGTAAAGGTTAGGGACTGGACAGCTACTTATCTGGAATGGTATAGGTCTCCTGCTTGAGTGGGGGTGGTGTGTGTGTGTGTGTGTGTGTGTGTGTGTTGGATAGAAGACCTCCAAGGTCCCTTCAACTTTGTTATTTTTAAATTCTGTAATGCTTTGTACTCTTGTAAAGTGTAAAGATATTGTCTGATGCTAACATAGTTGTCAAGCTTTTTTTAAAAAAAAATTATTACCTTGGCAATAAAAATCCTGCCCTTTGCATGGGAGAGAGAGTAGGATGTTCTTAGTTTTTAGTGTACCATGTGGTTTCTTATTTCAATATTATAAAACCATATAAGTTAATTTAGATAAATTTTAATCAAATGTATATGTTGCATGGCCTGAATATAATTCTTTAGAGCTGTACAGTGTGTACAAAGGCCTGCTGACAAATGTGGCTTAAATAAAGTGGCTTAAATAAAGCATGATTTTTTATGTTTAAGCAAAAATAGGCTTGCTTATCTTAGGAATCTTAGGAATTATTTAATTCATGTGTTAATACAGGGAATTTGAGGGTCACTTGGTCCATTTCAGAATTTTTGGTTTACAGCTGTGTAATTGGCTCGTGCTGTTTTCAGAATCAATGATCTAATAAATAAATGTGGACATGTATTAAAACATGCATGTTAAGTTCAGTATTTAGGTTATGTTCTTGCAACAAGTTATTTGATTCATATTCAGACTGTCAACGTCTAGTCCTGAAGCAAGATATTTTTTCCAGTTATTTTATTATTAAGTATAGGAATGGTAATAGATATTTCAATGTATCACATTTCTGAAGAAAAGATTTACTGCTATTACTATTACGCTTTTCTGTGGGTCAACAAATCAGAGTGAACATGGTAGTATTGAGGATGGGAGAGTACTAATAAAAATCAGCCTGTAGGTTAGATCCTGAAGTTTAATACCATCTGGGTATTAAACGGCAAAGGGTACTTTGGTACATTGCCAAGAAAAATGTGTTGATAAATCTATTAAATCACTAAGCTGAGCTCTTGGGGGCATTCTTTCATTCTGTGTGCAAAAGGACATGATGGACTATATTAGATGAAGTTGACCACTGTTTAAATCGTAGAAATGCTTAAGAGCTGTGTGTGTGTGTGTGTGTGTGTGTGTTACTGAGGATTATTGTTAAATTATTAACCCAACTGTGAAGTGGGTTGAGCTGAGACAGAATGATTGGTCCAATGTCAACCAGCTGGCTTCCTGTTTAAAGAAGGCCTAAAATTTGCAATCTCCTGGCTTCTAGTACATCAAGCTGATTCTCCGTTTGGATGGAATATTAATTGTATGTCTTTAAGGCTGCATCCCAGAAGTCATAGAACTGCATCCTAAAAAATTTCAGTGACAGGCTTCTACAATATTTTCCTTCCCTCTGTACGACTTTTTAGTTGCCTTTGGACACTTTGTGGAGTCCTTGATGCTCGCTGTGCTTGGTTGTTTGCTTGCAGACATTTCATTATCTGACCAGATAAATCATCAATTTATGAATTTCTTAAATTCTTATAGTGCTTATAACTAAGATTTTAACAGCACAAAACAATTTCTCATTTTACAAAGGCTTTTTTTTAAAATTTTAGTTGAACAAATATAGTTGTAGTAATAACACATTCTAGTTTGGAAAAGGCTAGAGGGAGCATTTTACTTCCAATTTACTTTCATGATTCAGGTTATGATAACCGCACTTTTTATTTGTCAGTGGTGTTATGCATGTTTAAACTATAAAGATCTCTATGTTCACTGAAAAATTATGATTTACTCCTTATTCTTAACCCTAAAATTTGAGGAAGGTAGATTCTGACTAGTTTAAAAACCCTAGTAGTGAAAGCAAATTGACAAGGGAGCTAGTTGGTGGATTTCCCTTCACTGGGTGTTTTCCAACAGAGGCTGGACAACCATCTGTTGCACATACTAAGTTTGGACTCATGGTCAAAATTATCCCTTCCACATTTATTATATCATTCTTGTCCTGTGTTGTAGATAGGTAAGAAGGAAGAATAATGTAAATTGTGAGAAAATGGATAGGGAAGGAGCATTTACAGCATATTCTGATGTACTCTTTTATATCAGCCAAAGATAATTGTATCTGAACTCTGCTATAGCAAGAAGTCTTAGATGTACAGAACTTGCTTATCGTACCACTTAAAATACATATAATTTTTGACATTTGCCCCAGCACAATGTAGGAAAATTTTAACAGCTGTATCCAAATATGACTTTAAGTGCTCAAAACAGGTGGCCACAGGAATATATACAGTGAAGGGGGGCTTCTATTTACCACCTCTGCTTGACTTAATAATTTCTCTTTATTTCTGATGGCAGAATGCTTATATGGTGGAACTACACCACCCATCTTTGCAACAGACCCAGCTGGAACGTACCTCTCAATATGTGTGTTCCCAGATTCTGCCTTGACTTTAAGAAGCAGCAAACCACAGATGCTTCCAGAGAGTTAGTAGGGTTGCCATGAATGGGGGGGGAAATCTACTAAAAAGACATTTTTAAAAAGCTACAAATGAAGTTGATTATGGTTATGGTTATGAAATAACAGCATATTAAAAATGTATGAAACCAGTTATGATGGAGTAATAGAGTGGGGAAATTGGCTGGCATTCTGGAGAAATAAGTGAGAACTTGCTGTAAAGCAACAATTGGTTACAAGTCCCATTTCTCCCATTCTGTTGCTTGCACAATAAAACGTTTGATCTACACTCAGCTCCTTTCCCAAAGGGCCTAGGCTAGGCTGTTATGCTGATGTTACAGAAAGTGGGTTCTATCTAGTATCATAATGTATTTGCTTTCCTTTCTTTTTGTGTTTAAGTTCATCTGATTGGTTATTTCTATGTATTTACTATTTCCTTCAGGGTCATCTGATCAGTAATGACTGGGAACATGGCCACCACCAGGAATGCTTCACAGCTCTTCTTGGTATTTTTCTTGTTGCTTTTTTGCCTACCTGTAGTGGAAGCTTTAGATATGGGTGATGCATTAGCTTTGCTGCTAGGTGTGGCTCTTAGTTGTATTGGATTCTGTGCCTGCCTCGGTCTATATGCAAGAAGACAACATGGAGAGCAATGACTTTAAGTCCAAAATGTTCAGCTGAAGTGCAACTGTCCTGATGGATGTTGTTGTAATTAAGGAAGAGTTTCAAGATGTTCCCCAACTCATCAAACCTTTATTGCTGTGTACTGCTCAAGAAGAAAGACCATTCATAATCGGAAAACTGGAGAAAGCTGCTTCAAGTTCATAAGAACATTTTATATGTAATTAAGGTGTTGCCTTAAAAGAGAATGCTACTGGTTTTCAATTACATATGAAAAAGTTAATTATTAACAGAGGTGCAGCAGGAAATATAGAGGGGTAAAAGAGAATATAGTTTGCATTCAAATGATATACAGAAAATATACGACATAGGAAACATAACTATCCTCAGAATTAATTTAGAGATGATTTTTTTCATCTAATGAAATATTTATTTCATTTTTCTCCAAATCGAACCAAAGTATTTTGTTGTAAGATCAATTTGCTGTGTACCATCCAATGTTTTGTTGTTTTCATCTGGTTACAATTTATGTTACGGTTAATATTGAAAAGTTAGTCTCCATTGTCTCCTTAAAGCATTGCAGATATTCTAATATAGCAGTATGTAATCCAGTGCCATCAAATGTTTAGTTTATAACTCCCATAATCTCTGACCATCAGCCATTTGATTTATGAGAATTGTAATCTAAAATATGGTAGCAGAGTCATGGGTTGATTGAAGGAAGAGATGCCAGATTTTCCTACTTGTAGAAATGGGTACAGCCATTCTTGCCCATGCTAGCTTGAATACATACGAAGCCTGACTTTTTCTTTCTAGTAAGCTTTCTATTCATTTCAGTAGAACTTGCAGAAATGTTCCTCATAAATTAACTTTTATGATTTCTCAGTTCTACAGAAGAATTGCTGGGAACAATATTTAAATGACCAAACCTTTTCTATACAGTATATATCTCCTCACTTGTATTGTTTGCACATTTTTAATAAATTGTGAAACTTTCACTATTTTCAAAGTATTGAATAAGGTAAAGGATTAATGGGAATTGAACAATGGTTTATTCTTGGTAACTAAATATATTTTAATATGAGGTTAACTTAATAACATCCATGCTCTTTAACGTGTCCTTTGCTGCTTTAATTCACCCATGATTAAATATTAGATATTGAAAATATGCCTAAAATTAACAAGGGCACTGTTGAAGCTCATACTAAACCAATTTTATTATAATTCAAGTTTGGTAGTAAGAGAAAGGTAGAAATTTTCTTAACATGCATATGCAGATCCATTATAAGAATGTTATGGTTTTAAAATATTGTAATATTTGGTATAAATATTACATATTATACAAAAGATATAGCAAAAATATACTATTCTAATGTATTTTAAAGACATTTTCTCTCTGACCCATGCAAAAGCTATATGTTCATCATGTATTGGATTCTGCTGCAGATATTTGCCTTTTTAAATAACAAAATATTTTAAAATCTTCTAAAAAGTTTGATGTTATTTAGATAATTAACTGCAAGTAATATCTCACAGGGGACTGAATTCCACCATGTGAATCTTAAAATTGGAAGAGTTTGGGATGCTTCATTGTGAAATATTGGTCTCCAGCCAACTTGAAGCAGATCCAAAGGTATATTTAGGACATCAAGATTATAGGCAACTGGCTACCAAAGCCTAATTTTAAAGTATTTTTGGCAACCAGAAAGAAACCAAGACAAGAAAAGTTAGAGCCCATTGCCATTGATTGGTAAGGTGCTGAGGCATGTGGACGGTAGTGAGATAACAGGAGTATCATGGAGAAACCAAATATTGGGAAGAAGTAGAGAATGCAGAGCTTGGGACAATCCAGTAGGATGAGTAAAAGATTCAAGGATATGATTGGAAACTATAAAGACAATGGGATGGTTGGAATTCTACAGATGAAACTTGGGAGGACATAATATGTGATTGAAGGGGAGGGAGAAATCAGAAAAGGGAGGTTGTAAAGAAAATTGTGACTGTAATTACATTTTTGGCTCTAAAAAATTCCTAGAAATAAAAGACAGGAATACTGAATCAGTTGACTGAGTTTGAAGAACAATTTGCATATTGAAGCTAAGCTTCTACTATAGAAGATTATAAAAAAGATTTCAGCAAGTCATCTGTGGTACTTTGAAATTCCAAATATGCAACCTATAATTTTACAATATTGTTAGCCAGACTATGGGAATCTATGGATTCTGATAGGAATATGGAAATATTCTCTGGAAACAAATATTGTGCAGGTAAGACACCCCTAACACCCTTCGGGATGTGAGCTCTGTTACGATACAGCCTGTTGTACCCTCAAATGGCTTCTACTGTACTGCTGTAAAATGGCTTAGCGCAGTGGAGTTGCCATAGTAACGGCTTCACAGTGCTCCACAAGGGGGTTCCCTCTGGTAAGAGGGAAAATCCAACTTTAGAAATTACATTTGGTCCGGACATTTCCCCCCTATAAATAAATACCCGGGCAACGCCAGGTTATCAGCTAGTTGTAGTAATAAATATATAACATTGGTTGTTGGAAGATACTCAGTATTTTGAGATTTAGAATTGTATCTACAAGAGACTCAAATTCTGATGCACTTCCAATATAGGGAATATTAATTATGCCAGATTCCAAAATAAATTAACATTACTGTTATGTTCTCATTTTGGATATGTTTTTTAATTTGTGGCTGATGTTTAAAAGTTTGTATAAGGAAAGTTCTTGAAATATGCCTGAGACAAGCATTATTTCTGATCTAATTTTCTTTCCCCTTTTCTTTTGCCTTCTCATGTAAAAGCTGATGTTTGGGCTAATTGTTCGGAAACATTTCTACTCTTCTATTGTCACATAGATCCTGAAAGATATAATGATATATCCTGGATCCATGATAGTTTAAACTGACATTATGAAGGTTGCACATGTGTCTTGCATCTCGTAATATTCTACTATATGAATGATTTCTTGTAAAGGAATTTGAAGTTATTTTTTTCATCCCATTGATAAAATCAAGTCACTTTCACTTTTTCATTTGAAACAAAGGAAGGCTTCCGAGCATGGTATTGATGCATTGGCTCAAAAACCAAGGACGTTTAGTAACACTTGAATAACTCAGCAAGTGACCACTAAAAACTGACCTAGTGTGGTCTAGGAACTTAAGAGGATTTAGCCTGGTTAGTGTTTGGATGGAAGATTTTAAGGGAAAACCAGAGCTTTAGATTAAACTGGGAAGTTAGAAAACATCCTGGAAAAAGATTGTATCAAATCATTTTCTTACTGTTGTCAGGAAAAAAATACACAAATATGTCCATCAAGTGACTAGGAACTGAGTTTATTTTCACTGTTCTGAATTAAGAAGGAAACTTCAAAAAACAATCAGGCTGGAAAGTTTGAATCAGAATGTGGACAAAATGAAGATAATTTTCTTTGTACTTCCCTGCCATCCTAAGAGAAAAGTTATTAATAGCCACAATAGGAGCAATTTCAGTACAACTAATCTTTGATTTATGCTGAAGTTACAACATCCCCCCCCCCTCCAAAAGATACTTGTGACAAGCTGCGCCATGGTCATGTGGTTGCATTTTGGGCACTAGCAACTGGCCTGTTTTCATTCCATGGTAATCTGACTGCAAATTATTTTCCAGAGTGAGTTTGCAGGATGGTCCAGAGATGGTTATCATCACAGCCAATTGGCCTCGAGACTGGGTTGAAGCTGAAGCCACGCCTCTGGGCTCCTCTCCTCTGACCCCAGTTTCAATCCAGTCTGGCCAAAAAGAGGTTGTAAATTCTTGACTCCTGATCTGATTCAACTTTTCTGGGCCATCCTCGACTCACTCTGG